GGACTGGCCCAAGGTCACTCAGCTGGCTTTGTGCCTAGGTGGGACTAGAACTCATGGTCTCCGTTTCTAGCCTGATGCCTTAACCACTAGACCAAACTGTTACTAACATATATCTATAGTGCTATTACGTTGTATTACCTTGAGATCTCTGTGAACAATGCCCATTCTGTGGAGATAGAAAACAGCATCCAAGACCTGCCGTATCAGAGTGCTTGCGTCCTTTTCAGTATAGAATCCTTTCTCCACAATGCGGTCAAATAGTTCACCTCCAGACACTCTAAAAAACATCATCAGATATAGCAACATTAATAGACATTGTCAGATGACCAATTAAAATGAAAGCAGCCAAATTAAAAGGAATCAAATCTCTGTATCTTTATAATTTTGAAAGCACGCAACAGAATTACAAAACATAATGGAGATATTCATCTTTCAATTAAAACTTGATTACATTTATTTCTGCACATTTGCTTTAAATAGATTTCAGATTGGTAAGAAAAGTTCTTCCTGGGGGCCTATGTATTGTACCCCAAGGTCAGTTATGTTTCTTAGAAAACACCAATTTGCCTGTTGCTTCTGTTAATTAGAACCTGAAATCCTTGATTATGAAATGTCAAGGCACTTTCTTGGAAAAAAGCTGATCAGAAAATAACAGGACCATCTTTATAAAATTTTCCAATCTTCTTCAAAATGTGAAGTGCATTTTTTATGCAATGTCTCTTCTGAACCTTGTCATAACGCTTGCAACTATTGAATCATTGGAAAACCTTCATGTTCAATAACCATCTGATACTCCAAGAACCACAGATAAAGTGTTACAAATCTAACACACATTTCAGGAAGTCAAAAAGCTGCTCCCCTTTCTGCTTAAATTCTATCATTAGATGAAACAAAAGGAGGGAAAAATTTATCCGAAATGTACTGTTCCAGGATGAAAGGCCTTCCAGAGCTACTATACCCTATAGTTCATGTAGTATTGGCAAAGACGTTTTTCATTTTGTATGCACTGCCCACCAAGAACACAGGACAAAACAAAATGCAGCCATGTGTAATCAACAAGTGTGAAATGACATCTATCTATCTATCTATCTATCTATCTATCTATCTATCTATCTATCTATCTATCTATCTATCTATCATATTTGTGTGGCTGCCCATCTCACAAAAAAGTGACTCTGGGAGGCGTACAACACTCAGTTAAAAAACCCCCAATAAATACATATAAAAAAACTATTAAAACTATGAAAAGTATAAAAAACACACAAAACAGGAGAGGATGATCTGCTGTACGGCCAA